CATAGACCAGCAACCTCAGACAAGACTGTACTGTGACCACGATGAATCAAAATAAAAACAAGGCGAGGCCGAGGCAGGCGGATCACGAGGTCAAGCGATGGAGACCATCCTGGCCAACATGGTGAAACCCCATCTCTACTAAAAATACAAAAAATAGCCGGGCATGGTGGCACATGCCTGTCGTCCCAGCTACTCGGGAGGCTGAGGCGGAAGAATCACTTGAACCCAGGAGGCGGAGATTGCAGTGAGCCGAGATTGCACCACTGCACTCCAGCCTGGTGATAGAGCAAGACTCTGTCTCAACACAAAAACAAAAACAAAAACAAGCCTACTCCCTAATCATGTCTGAACACAGACACACATGAGCATTGTTCAAGCCACAAAAATGACCAAACATCCACCTATCCTGGCTGATACGAGTGATGGCTGTGTCTTTTCCAATTGTGTCTTGAGCCTCGCTCTAGTCTGCCATTCCTATAGGTATGATCTATAAAGATCCCCATTCATAGACTTGTTCCTGCTTTCTGACAGCATAGGAGCCAGTGCAAGGCCTAGTTTCCCTAAACCCTCCTTTGGGTCACCCAACACAAGCCTAAATCCTATTGTAAGTCCATCCTAATACCTTCTTCCTGAGATGCCCTGTGTGACTCCCCAAGTTGTGTGTTCTCCCTCCCTGCCATGAGTAGTAAGTCCAGCATGTTCAACTACAGGTAGTCCTGGAGGCCTTTGGCTGCCAGACATTGACAAGGCTTCATCCTGTCCCAAGCCTCCCACTCTGCCTCCCCTCAGGGAACATGCCCCAGGGCTAACCTTGTTTTCCATTTGTAACCATCACCAACCTCAGCCCTCAAACTCAGCTTGTAAGGAAAAACATCACTTTATTTTCTATGTTAAATTTAACTTCTGATTTCACTAGACTGGAGGAAAACCTCTCCTAGTATTTCCTGGGATTCTCCCCCTTCCACTTTGCCATGGTTGGGCCATGATGATGTTTCATATAGTGAGGGCACCTGGACCTTGATCATTACTGCATATAGGTTTCCTGAACTCTCGGCCCTGCTCACAAGGACCCTGAAGGTGTGGAACTCTCTGCTGCTGCTCCTGAGCAGTGATTGTGTCTAAGAGTAGTTTGGGAGGCTGCTTGTGGTTTCATGGAGGGCGGCACTACATAGTCATGTCTTTCTGGGGCCTTAAGACCTCCTGGGTGGAGCTATGAGGGTGGGAAGGAAAAGCCTTAATTATCTCTGTCGTTCCCCAAAACGCTCGATGTCACCTATAGATTCTCTATTCTAGTTTTCTATTGCTGTGGAAACAATAATACCGCAACCTTAGTGCCTTAAAAAAACACACAGTTATTATCTCACAGTGGGTCAGGAGTTGGGGCACAGCTTAACTGGGACCTCTGCTTAGGGCCTTGCAAGGCTGCAATCAAAAACATGGTAAGTTTATGCTCCATGGTTCTCAGTTAATCTCCTGGCACAGTTTATGTCAGGGAGACCTGGGGTGGTAAATTTTAAGAGAGGAGTCCCTCACTGTGCAGACACCACCGAGGGACCAGGGAGACCCACGAGGTCATGAGTGGAGAAGGACCTGCATAGAGACCAGGTGTGTAGCTTTGCACACTACCATGCCCTCAGGCTGAGGTTTTCAACCCACACACCACCCAGACCCCCATCAAGGTCTTTGGAGCCAGCCTCAAAATAGTCTGAATAAGAAGCAAAAGATAAAGTCAGATTTTCTGGGTAGAAGAAGTCATGTGCTGAGGTATTTATAGTCAGACTTAGTCCCCAAGCAGAGTTGATCAAGGATCAGGTTAGTGGTAGCCATCAGATGGAATGACAGAATGATACTAGTGGCCACACGACAGGTAGGAAGGCTGGTCATGGGAGGAGTGTGTTGCCGCTGTCCAGGCTTGCATTGGCTGGGAGAGGGTTGGATGCTTGAACTCAGCCCATCCAGCCCTCCCAGGGCAGGGGCCGGGGTGGCCCCCTACCCCATTACTTCTCCAGGTGAACATGTCATGGCCAAACAGGGCATGTGAGTGTCCTGTGATTTTGAAAATGAAGAGGGTGCCCACGGGGCAAGTCAGAGAATCGGCAAAGTCACGGGCTCCTACAGGTGCCCGTCCCGCTGACCGTCACTGGGACACGCTGGACACTTGTGGGGAACAACCAGCACTAGTCCTCAGTATAGCTCAGGCAGGAAGCTCTCTCAGGTGGACCCTGGTGGGATGGTGGGCATGGCCTCTGCTCCCACAGGACTCCTGGGTACTCACCTGGGTGGGGGCACTGCCTGCTCCTGGTGTTGCACTGTCTATGAAATCATGTGGGTCTGGCTCCCCAGTCTGAGACCCCGTGACTGCACTCCCTTGCTGCTTTTACTCTGCCTCTCTCACGCTCTCCTTGTCTGAGGACACTTTTTGAATTTCAAGGATAGGGAAACTTGCTAGTTTTCCTCATGTACCTCTCAAATCCCTCCTCTATGTTCTGAATCCTTCTTTCAACAAATAACATCAACAAATAATTTCAATGAAATTAAAAACCACCATGTAGGCCGCTCGTTCACCATGGTCAATAAAAATGCACATGGCTGAGTTCAGCTTGGAGGCTGCCATCGAGGTTTCTGGGATTCCTCCCTGCCAGTCACCTTGGCCTGGGAGTCTCAGAGGAACACCTTGAGATGGGGATTCATGGGAAAGAAAGGGCTTTATTAGAAAGCATTCCCGGGAATACTGATAGGAGAGTGAGAAAGTGGGACAGGGAAGGGAAGAAGGCCCAGCTCTAGCAGAGTGCTCTGTAACAGGCAGAGACCTAGAGAGGGTCACTCCTCCAACCCTGCAGGGGCTCTGACACAGGACAGGCCTCTCCTTCAATTATCCTGACTGGGGACAAAGGAGTTGCTGTGATTTTACTCCCATGCTCATTGGTCATCAGCTAAGGGCATCTCTGGGTAGATGCAAATGTCCAGGCATTTCCTGCTCTCTATGCACTCAGACAAAGGGGGCTGGCTCCTGAAGCCCCTAGAAAACCTAGCACGTACTAGTGCTGGCACATGGGATAGCCTGTGTGCAGCACAGCAGGGGAGCCACCCAACAAGAGATGGGAGGAACACCAACAGCATCTTCTACACCATGAAAATCTCTGGATGAATGATGGTAGGAGTCATTTGGAAGAAACTGATCTTGGAAGAATGAAGCTCTAGGGGTTGCACTTGCCTAAATCAATTGTAGAAAGATGTCATGGGACAGGATACAGTAGTAACTAGTGACTAGTTTCCTCATAGCCAATCTTCGCAATTAGAGGCAATGTCCATCTTGAGAAATACTAATGGCTTCCTGCCAATTGATCCAACAGCAAATACACTCCTGAAGTCAAGAACAAATGATACTGCCTGTAAATCCAAGCCACAAGACATAAAGGATACTGCAGACAAAGAGGATGAAAGATAAGTCACATACTATGAGAAATATCCTAAGTCTGTCTTGTTACAAGAAAGAGACTAAGCTCCTGGGCAATGTTCTTGGGAAACAGAGGGAGAGTGGTGAGAAACTTCCTCCAATTCCTAGCTTTCATCCTAGCCTCCAGGAAGGTTGGGGCATAAATGTCCCTGGGACATTCTCCAGGAAGAACATCTCCACTGTATTTCTGCACAGTGCCTGGGAAGGCGTTCTGCCATGTTGAGACCAGAGAATTTTGGATTTCTCATCAGGGAATATAATTGCTTTCTTGGCAGTCAAAAAAATAGAATTAAGACTCTGCCTTATTTTACAGTTTTTGTTGTTGTTGTTGTTTTTGGCAGGGATGGTTAATCACTGTAGTCTGACTCAAGTATCCTGAAAGCCCAGATACCTGGACTAAGTCATCAATAAATGTTCTCAGTCTGCCCTTGGGATTGATCCAATAATAAACTTAGCATTTTTCAGTTCAATTCCACAAACATTTATTGAGTGCCTACTATGTGCCTAGTGTTGTCAACTCCTAGGGGGTATAATGTTAGTAAGACTTAGATGCTAGCCCTAGGAAGTTCTGTTTTATTAGGCTGGTCATTTATTAGGTCATACAAAGTAATGCCAAAAACAGCAATTTTTTCTGCACCAACCTCATAGAAGTCCAGTAAAATAAAACAAAATTTAGTAGTCAGTTAATTGTGCTCTCCAGGCTGTGTAGAAATTATTTCACCAAGCTGAGTTGGAAGTGAGTGAGAGGACTGACATCTCCTTATGCTAAAGAAAGGTTAATAAGACACAGTATTGTCGCCTGTGCAAAGCTGTAAAACCAGAATTCCAGGGAAGCCCCTTAGGCCAGGGAGAAGGTGAGGAGAATTTCATTGAGTTGAAAGAACAAGAAATAATCTTGAAAACCTTGTGTGCCTGAGATCAGAAACAATTTGAGAAATTAACTGACAGAGATACACCACAATGTTCTTAGTGGTTTTCTCCAGGGGTTGGGATTTTGGTTGAGTTTAATTTTCTTTTTCTTTTTTTCCTCTTTTCCATCCTTCCTTTCTTAGTTCTTTCCTTACTTCCTCTCTCCCTACCTTCCTCCCTTCCTTCCTTTTTCCCCTTTTATTAAAATTTTTATTTTATTTTAATTTTTTTCTAGCTTTAGTGAGGTGAAGTTGACAACAAAAGCTGCATATCTTCAATGTGTACAATGTACTGATTTGATATATGAATACAGTGTAATGATCACATTAATTCATTAACCTATCCATCACCAACCCACAGTTCCACTTCCTCCATTTTTTCCTACCTCTTTCTTTTCTCTTATGCTTTGTTAGTATTTGATAGTTTTTTTTTTTTGTTTTTTGTTTTAACAATGTGTCTTTAATTCATTTTGAAATAAAGTCTTAGTTTTAACATAAAATAACTGAGAATCTAAGGCACATTGTATTTGGGGTTGAAGGTCAGGACAAGTTGATGCCAAAGATAAGCTAACCCTGCCATAGGCCCCCATTTCTCTCTACCTTTCCCCTGTTCCCCAATGCTTGGCTATATTCACTTTGCTGTCATCAGCTCAGGGGAACTAGTTAAACAGATCCAGTTTTTAAATGTCTCTTTATTAAAAAAGTTTACAGACCCAGTGCCTATTCTTATCATTTTTCCCTCCTTGGACAGTCACAAATACTTTTCTTCAGATCATTTCTTCTCATTGAGAATGAAAATAACTAGGAAACCAAGAACGAGAGATTACCTCCACCAATTACAGACCCAACTTTGTTAATATAATTTTTGAAAGAAGTTTTCCCTCAATAGTGTCAATGGCCCATGTAAAGCAACCACAGCTATGTTACTGAAAGTGGTCCTGATCCAGATCCCAAGAGAGCGTTCTTGGGCCTTGTGCAAGAAAGAATTCATGGTGAGTCCATATGGTAAAGTAAAAGCGAGTTTAAGAAAGTAAAGGAATAAGGAATGGCTACTCCATAGGCAGAGCAGCAGGGTGGGCTGCTTGATTGATTGTACTTGTAGTTATTTCTTGATCATCTGCTAAATAAGGGGTGGATTATTTATGAGTTTTCTGAGAAACAGGTGGGCAATTCCAGGAACTGAGTGTTCCTCCCCTTTTTAGACCACATAAGGTAACTTGCCTGACTTTGCCATGGCATTTGTAAACTATCATGGCATTGGTGGAAGTGTCTTTTATAATAGCATGATATGATAACACATTATAGTTAGCATATAATGAGCTGTGAGGATGACCGGAGGTCATTTTCGTCATCACCTTGGTTTTGGTGGGTTTCAGCTGCCTCTTTACCACAATCTGTTTTATCATCAAGGTCTTTGTGACCTGTATCTTCTGCCAACCTCCTATCTCATCCTGTGACTAAGAGTGCCTAACCTCGGGAAAGCAGCCCAGTAGGTCTCAGCCTCCTTTTACCCAGCCCTTGTTCAAGATGGAGTCACTCTGGTTTGAACACCCCTGACAGTTATAGTAGTGTTTCTTTACATTCTATATTATACACAGTTGCATCCAAGATATGGTGGTAATGGCATCAACAAATATTCTATGTATCAGAAACAGCCCCCAAGAGTATAAGAAAACCAAAACTATTTATGTTTGTTTAAAACACATGTTGGCACGTGGTTCCAGCTGTCTTTTCAACTTAAAATTTGTTGAGTAACTAAAATTTCTATACATCTCCAGAATGCTTGCATGCCGAAACTCATTGTGCAACCGTGGTTGACGTTAAGGCACCAAAATATCTACAAATGTAATCATTTCGCATGCAAACGACTCTTCAGCTTCCTCTTTAAGATCCAAAAATACCCCTAAGGAAAACTCCACCATGGTATGTTCAGTCCTCTCTTGATGAGGCGCCTGCTGCACTCTTCAGCAGTGTTCCTTCTTTCTAATAAAACTCTTTTTTCAAACCTACACTGTCATCAGTAAAGGTACTTACCAACCCATAGATCAACCACTTTCCCATGCTGGGGCTCTGATACCTCACTTGGTGTTAAACAGAGAAACTGAGGGAGCTAGAGTTTTGTTTGTTGTCTGCTTAACACCTGTGGATTTGGAGTTTGTACCTGGGACTAGTGCTTTTCAAATTTTAGGTCACAACCCATTAGCGAGCTATAAAACCCATCTAGTGGATTGATACCATCAGTTTTGAGAATAAAGCAGAATAGAAAATATTATCAGGGTGTAAGACACACAGTAAGGGTGAGTATTGTTTCAGGGGATTTTGTGTGTGTGTGTGTGTGCCTGTGTGTGTGTGTAGTGGGGTGGCATGTAAATGCACTTCTCATTGTGGGTTGAGGTGCCAGGAATGGGCCCTGTTGCCTTGAGCTGCTTGTATGATGCCTGGAAAAGCCTGATTAGGATGGCCATCCCTGTTGAGATGCTTCAAGGGGATTCAGGTGTAGAGAAGGCATTTAGAATAGGGGACCTCTGAGGCTCCTTCCAACCTTGGAATCCTGATTTTAGGATCCAACAAGATTTATAACAGCTTGGTCAAAAGAATGTGACTGACCAACTTTTAAAAAGTAGGTTATGTAAATAAATGGTCAAAATCATGTTTCCATGATAAGCCCTGCAGTGACTCAGGATTTCTTTCCCAAGTGTTTTGAGGCCACCACAGTGGATGTTAACATATTTCTCCAAGGTTCAGTCCCGTTCCATGTCTCCCTCCATGTTAATGATCTGTGGGCTTCTTCATTGTCAGGATGAGAAGCCCTGGCATTGGGGGGCAACCCCCTTCAGTGTCACTCAGTCCACACACTCCAGCAGCTGGCATGGGAGCCGGTGGACAGTCTATACACTCAGACAGAGTAAACAGGGCAATCCCTTCTTAAGAAGAGTGTATCCCAGCTGCCTGGGTCAGGAAGGAAGCTTTTCTCTCTTCCTCAATCCTTCAAGCTTCCCACTATCAGGACATGGTCCCTCTATTTACGATCTTGGAGTCATCTTCTTTGTCCTTCCTCCCCCACAGCCAATCCGTCACCAAGTCCTGTCTGTTCTACCTCAAACTAAACACCAGTCCATCCATGCTTCCCTCCTCCACCTTAGGCAAAGCCACTATCACTTCTTACCTGGAGGGCCAGGGCCACTCTCTAATTTGTCTCCCTACCTCTTCTCTAACTCTTTGCCAAATTGCACTTTGAGCCATGAGAGAGCTTTTTGAAAGGCAAATCAAATCATGGCACACCCCTGCCAAACCCCACCATAAACAATCCTAATTTCAAACTAATGTTGGAACTGGAAGATAAATCAACTGTATTCAAAATCATGACTCACTTTGCCTTGACAGCACTCATTCTGGATTAATAAGATTTTTTTCTTACTCTCCCCTCCCTGCCACTTTCTTCCTGGCTTCTCTGTCTTTTCTTCCCTTCCCTACTTTCCTCTCTTATCTTTCTTCCTCTCCCTCTCATTCATCCACCTCATTCATTCCTTCCTTCATTCACTCATTCTGTTTTGTTTCTAATGCTGATTGTGGTCCTTCATTTCCTGTCTTGAGATCTGGGCTAGAATGAGACAGGAAATGTGGGGAAGACCCAACATTTATTCTTCACAGTGGCTTTGACTCTCCCAACAGCTGCAGTGAATAGGTTCCTTGTCACCCTGTTTGGATCCTCTGCCTTACTAGGGAGTCTGCCCTGTTTCATTGTCAGGGTCCGCCTGGAGAACTGAGGTCCTGGAACCAGATAGCAAGACCCCAGCCTCTTAAGGGGGCCCTTGGCAGTTGCATCAAAGCAGAGGATCAGACAGATTAAATCAATCAAGTGTGAAGTGCCGTTACTTGCACTGAGGTTCCATTTAGCACCACAGTACTGGGTTTCAGCAAAGAGAAAATCTGGAATCAATACTGCTATCATATCACAAAATTACAGTATTGTGTACTGAAAATGAGCCATAAATCAACTTCAGGCTTCACTTGCCAGAGCAAACAGTTTTCCTGTGAGAATGACGGCACCCTGGAACAAGAGGGTCCAGGCCTTCCCCATGGTCATTTTCCCACCTGGGAATGCAGGTGATCTGAAGAGAGGATTCCCAAGTGCACCACTAGGAGCAGAGGCTGGTGGGTAGGCTTGGATGCCTTGGAAGAGCAGCCTGACTGAAATGCAACAAACCTCCTGAATCTCCAAAGCCAGCCAAGCAGAAATGGCTGCAGACAAAATCGGGAGATTCTGGCCTCTGAGGTCACCCCAGCCCATTCCCATGCCCTAATTTCCTTCTTTCCAGTTTCGCCTTTCTTGGTGAACTGGAATTTTCTCACCTGTAGATTTCAGCCCCAGGAGTTGGCAAGGAGATTGGTAGAGGGGATATTTTGTTTGCTGGGAAAGCGCCCAACTATGGAGCTCCTGATCCTGCACCACACAGAGTTGTCTGAAAGCCTTTCTCTCTTCTCTTTTGCTTTCTGTCTGACATTATTTACAAAAAACCAGAGCTCTGGGCACTTCTGTCCTGGCTACGCTTAGCACACCACCTTTTCTTCCTGAAAATTGTGGGCATAATGGTCAGGGGTTATTCAGATGCACCAACCCAAGCACCTTGAGATGAACCAGGCTGCCCTGACCAGGAATGTCCTGACCCAGTATCCACTGTATGCGTCTTGGGCCACCTTTTTGCTGCCCCACAAAATTGTAATTGCTGAAGGGCATAGAGTATGCCCTCTATATTATGTACTCTTTCTTGATCCATAGTGCAAAATGCCAAAATACGTAACTACTAAGATTGAGAACTAAATATATTTCATCATTTTCTGATTGCCATGATAAAATGGGAAAATAAATCCAGGTTATATAAGTCCAATTATCTGAGTTTTTATCTGCTGCTAAGTTCTCAATGGGAATTTATTTTGAAGGGTATTTATAGAAGGGACATTGGAAAGCATAAAGAAAAAATCTTCAACGTGGTTTTTATGAAAGATTAAGCTGTACTATTGATAAACTATACCACTTACCCTTGGTGGGCTTATTTCTTCATCAGTAAGTAGGAACAGTAATAAAAACAACCTTACTGACAGGGTTGGGGTATTACAGTATTTTGTGAACATAGATGAATATCATATTAAGATGGCAGAATGCCATGTGGGCACCATAATCATCTCGATGTGGACTTGCTCAGAATCACATGTATAGCAAGCTCCAGCTGGGACCCAGCTCCTTCAGGCTTCCCAAGGTCCTCATGTTCCTGTCCACCACCTTGTGCAGTCTACAGGGACTCCTAGCCTGCCTCCTGTCCAGGCTTGTCTGCCTTGTGGAGGACTACTCGAATTTTCCAGGCACCTCCCACAGACTTCTCTTTTATTTTAACCCTGGGAGACACGGGCTTCTGTTTGAAGAAAGATAATTATGATCTCATCACTAGGGAAGACTCTTCCAAGACAAGTCTCACAGTGATCATGAGAGAGAATTTTTTTTTTTTTTTTTTTTGAGACAGAAACTTGCTCTGTCGCCAGGCACCAGGCTGGAGTGCAGTGGTGCAACCTCGGCTCACTGCAATCTCCGCCTCCCAGGTTCAAGCAATTCTCCTGCTTCAGCCTCCCGAGTAGCTGGGACTACAGGCTCGTCCCACCACGCACAGCTAGTTTTTGTATTTTTTAGTAAAGATGGGGTTTCACCATGTTGACCAGGATGGTCTCGATCGCTTGACCTCGTGATCCACCCATCTCAGCCTCCCAGAGTGCTGGGATTACCGGTGTGAGCCACTGCACCCGGCCATCAGAGAGAATTTTCAAGACCTAAAGAAAGGCATGAATCCCTGGTATCAAAAGTCACACTGAGTTAGATGCAGGATTAAAAAAATTCTGCCTAAATACATTAGAGTGAAACTGCAGAATAAACAACAAAACAAAAAGCTATGCAAGAGACAAGACAACCTCCAAAACAACAAGAATTAGATCTACATCTAGTTTCATTTTTATAATTGGACTTTTATCAGGAACAGTGGGATTGCTAGCAAACACAGTCAACATGCACACACAAAGTCAAGACTGACTATGAGGAAGTATATTTCTTACATCTGTTAAGAAATCCCTACTGTAATGCATGAAGAGGCAATTTCTTGTTACTCTGTCATTGTCAAAGGTGCTGTCCTTTGCACCTTTGCTATTTTAAGCAAAGGTGGCTATTTTAAAGCAGGCCTGTGAATGCTTCTTAAGTGATCCTCAGAGAACTTTTGTCAATTGGTGAAAAGCAAAATGTCCACTGTTGCTGAAGATGTGGGAAAATGAGCTGTCTCACTGTTGGTGGGAATGTAATACGAACAGCTTTTTGAAGCAAATTTGTTCCTAACCTCGAGTTCTGCTTCCTGGGATCCATTCTACACAGACACACACAAGCACAAAGCTGGCTGCACGGTACAAGGAAAGTCACCGCAGCTTTCTTTGTTATTGCAACAGATAGTAATAGTGAAATACCTATTTGCTGGTAATAGCAAAAAATGATTATTAGCTACTAGGGGACTCGAACTCATCAGATAATGTTATAAAACCTAAATACAACAGGATGTAATGCAGCTGCTAACATAAATGAAGTAGATCTATAGATGCTAACATGGAAGGACATCCATAATATACTGTTCTATGAAAAAAAGTAAGTTGATGATCAAGATGTATGGGGTCACCCTATTTTAAAAATATATATGTATAAGTGTAAGTATATGTGGGGTGTGTGTGTGTGTGTGTGTGTGTGTGTGTGTGTGTTTACTTAGAAAGTCAAGAAGCCAGTAAAACAAACGAAACTGTGGTTACCTCAAGGTCATGAGTTCTGGATATAGGACTTTCTATTTTTACTTTAGATACTTCTGCACTACTTGCTTTATTTAGTAATTTTTAAAAGCCAATAAAGGGACAACTGGCAAACCTCCCACTGTGTATTTGTTCTACTTATTAACATCTTTGGTCTTCAGGTCTCTCATCTACATTTGGGCCAAACAAGAATTGTCATATTCTAATGTTTCTTAGTCTCTTTTATCCAATAGAAATTTTTATTCCTAATTAAATTTTATGTAAAACCCCAAGGTATAAAAATAGATAAAAGTAGGACTGCTGTATCAGTCAAGGGCAAGTCTAGAAAACAGGAATCACTCCAGGAATTTTAAACAAAGGGAGTTTAACACAAGCAACAAAGGAAAGTGTCAACCCAGAGATTAACCAAACAGGAAGCTGCTACCATCAGTGCTAGTCACCCAGTGGAAGCTGGAACCACAGTGAGCTGGAGCCACAAAGTAGATGTAGCCTCCTCTGGAGATGCCACTGAGGCAGAGAGGAGGTGAAAATGAGAAGTGTTGATGCAAGGCAGAGCAGGGCCAGCGGGGGGAAAGCTGTGAGAGCAAACAGGCATGTGGCCAGTGCAGATCCCCTCATGGCCCCCTCATCCCGTGCAGCATGTCTTGGTGGACGATTTCATGGCATTGGAAGCTATGCGTGATATCTATGGTTCCATGGCTTACTTGCCCCTTTGAGAACTGAATATTGTCAGAATGATGCTTAGTGGTGCTTGTCCTTGTTCTAAACCAAATCTAAAGGCCATTG